GGGTGGGGGAAGGGGGGAGTGCTGAATATATAGCAAGGAGTAGCGAACCATTGCAGACATTCGCAAGGTTTTGCATGGTGGTGCTCAGCTGTTGTTTGTGGAGCTGAGGGCAATACCTGCGGACATCCGATCAACTGCTGACGTCACCTCAATATGACGTATGTATACAAACCGGCAGCACCAACATAATATGTCTATTTAATTAGATTGGAGCTTTTATTAATTCTCCAAACGATTTTGTATTTTCAGTTACAACTTTTGAAGGTAGGGGGCACGCGGTAGCGTAGTTGGTTGTGGCACTATGCTACAAGCCGGAAGGTCGCGGGTTCAAGTCCCGATGAGGTCATTGTATTTTTTTCAATTGACCTAATCCTTCCAGCAGCACTATGGCCCTGGGGTCGACTCAGCCTCTAACAGAAACGAGTACCAGGAATTAATTAAATAGTTTCCCTGGGGTGTAAAGCGCGGCCGGCGCGTAAGGCTGACAACCTTACCGCCATCTTCGAGCCGATTGTGTAGATAATGTGGGACCCTCAACGTCTCACAACCCTATGGGCCTTCACGGCCTGTTACTGGAATAGCTTTACTTTACTTTTTACTTTTGTAGTGTTCGAGATGCGAATCGTTTTGACTTTTAAAGAATTTATATCGATATTCTGATGTTTGATATCGATAAATACTATTCATTTTATTTCCTTGTGTCCTATAGATTTATTTCTAATAGGGAAAGGTTTAACATTTCTGATATTCACAACGTACCATTGGCAAAGAAGTATATATGTTTGTGCATATGTTAGCTAATCTGGTATATTAGTATTGCTCTGTTTTTGCAGAATATGTAGTATGCATACAGAATTTTCATAGGGAAATCTGAAGGGAAGATACATGTGAAGAGATCTACTCATAGATGGGATGGTAATGTTAAAAATCGGGCCGAAAACATTGCACATAACTTTCTCATATGCGATTGACCTTGACTACGTTAATTTGGAAACTAAATCGATTGTTCCTTTAACGATCATTATTAATTACCAAATATCAAACAGGAATTAAATACATCTGACTGGTAAAGCCGGCTTTGAGAAAACTGGTATTCTGCTTTTAGGTCCCTAATGCACTTAGCACTACTTTCCTGAAGATACCAAGTATGAAATTTTATTTAGGGAAATGATCTCCACGTATTATTGAAACTGTTACAACTAGTTTCGGGAGAATGAACATTTTATGTTTTGGAGCTAGAATGTTCATATTCACTAGGCATCAACCTGTGATGGATATATTCTCTAATTTCGAATATCAGTAGAATCCGTCCAACCGTTCAGACTCTGGCGAGTCATACATGCATATATAAGGCGGACATTGCAGAAAACGCTTTTTCGAATTCAGAGAGACTGAAAACGTGTAAATCCGTCAACGTTTCTACACTGATTTTCTTTTCGTGATTATAGTATCGCATGTAATATGTATATGAGAACGTGAAATGGGATGTGAGAAGGTGGGCTGGGTTCATCTTGGCCAGAATAGGGCGCAATTATGGGCTCTTGTGAACGTGATAATGAGCTATCGGGTTCCATTAAAAGGCTTGAGTTCCTTTTATCAGCTGAGCGACTGTTAGCGCCTCAAGAAGGACTTTTCATAATGGAATTAGTACTATGGAAGTGTTTCGGGGATACTCCCAGTCTTGCAGCATGTATCATTCTAGAATTCAGGATTATTGCCTTTTTTGGAACTTGTCCATCGTCCGGCATTCTGAAGAACATGACGTTCCGGAGATTTGATGTGTTTCCTTCCTCAGGTGAGTGGTGGGACACGCCTACTCTGTTTATTCCGTTAGAAAGAGCTAACTTCTGACTGAGTACTAAATTACTACTGGTCCTCGCCAGCGCAGTGAATCTTGGTTCCGAGTCCCACGGGACCCACGAATTTTACTCTCTGACGGCTCTGGGAGACTTTAGAAAGAGCTAATCTTGAACAATTGACGTTCTAGTAACCCAGAGTGTTATATAGCATCGTCAGAACCCTTGAAAATATACGGAATTGCATATTTGAAATCTATCTTATGTTGATAAATTGTAAGTACATGCATATCATAAAAATAATTCGTTCATTGCTCTCACAAATCGAAAAATTATGTAGGTACAATTTTAGAGCTATTGTATCGGAATTTCTTGCAAAGTCATGTATAACCATTCAGTTGTTTCGTCAGATTTCCATTGTTTCTCAGTTCTGAACACAGACATAAAATGAAACAACAAATATTTGTTAAGGTTGTTTCTGTGTTTATCTATTCACTTACTCCGAGATATTAGTACGAGTGATTATGAGTTTCTAATACTGAAATTTACTGAGGCCGGTTACAAATGGATGTAATGAAGAGCGCATTTCATCAGACTCGCCGTCCAGGCACAGTAATTAATTTTTATCCACAAGCGTCAAGGCTGTCAGGGGGAAATGTTGAATACAGCACAGAGTTCCTGAAGGCACTTTGTCTGGTGACAGTTATCCACACGTCAAGGATTTGCGCAGGACTCTCTCTGGTCTCAACTGTTTCTCTTGTGCTGTCATCTTTCCTTCCTTTTTTCCAGTCGATCTGTATTTCAGTTTGGGGAACTTGTCTGCATGCGTTTGTAAACTTGGCACTGTTTTCTGGAATGTGACACCATGTAGCTAGGTAGATATTTATCGACGTCTCATAATCTCATTAACTAAGCGGGTTGCAAGAAAAGTGATCATTCACGTCCACGGGAAGGGTATGGTAACAAGTACCCATCTACAGGACTACATAGCGTCATATCAGAAGCTCAAAAGAAAACTTAACAAGAATGATACAATATGCTTAAAGAGGTTCGTTGTATTTACTCGAGACGCCAGTCTGATCTATAGTCATAGGCCCTATGCAATGCATTGTAAATCTAACAGATTCCTCCGAAACGTCTATGAACTTCTACCGAATTAACGCAACCAGGCGGAAGAGCGATTCTAGGAGCGTGGCTAACGGTTTTAATGGGGAAAACTTATTATGTAACGTTATCAGTAATTTTCTGTAAATCATTTAGTCTTTTTCAGGTATTATGCAAGACATACCATGTGAACTTATGGACTCTTATATATATAGTTCGTGATATACACGTATTATCTGTGGTGAATAGCTAGGAAGATCTATCTCGAAACATATCTTAGTCCGCGCGTGATGTGGCCCTTACATTGAAGTAATGCGCATCAGATATGTATATATAGTAACAATATCCAATTTAGGTGACACATAACAAACAAACTTTCGTTGAAGCATATCGAAACCAAAATATATACATGAAATTTCGTCTGCACCTTTACACAAAGTGCCTCCTGGAGGGAAACCATTGTAAACTAGAAGTAGAACGATTTTAACAAACTTTAGTGTCAGTTGCTAGTTCGGGTGGATTTACTAAGTGTGTATGTGACCTGTTGCGTAGGATGCAGCGGCTGCTGTTGCTTCATTTCGACGCTGTCCACATGGCTGTGCTGCTGCTGATGGAACTGCTCAACTTCCTCACGAAGTTATGCCCCACCTGGGCTACGACGATGATTTCACCATCATGTGAGTCACAAACATGACTTTATTATGCACTGAATATGTGGTCAAAATACTCTTTACTGTAATTAAGGTAGCGAAAAGGCACACAGTATTACACAATGGCCTGTTTCATTTTCATTTTTTAAATTTGTTCTTAACAGGCTGTCAGTATCGAGACTGTATAGATCCGATAGACACAATAGGCCACTGTGGTCGCGGTGCAAGGGCCAAGAAGGCCCACCCTTTATACATTCATTCATATAGATTCGATGATTGGATGATTAATGAATGTGAAAGAGTTGATGCAATAATAATTGGCAAGGGAAACCATAGCCCTAGTAGAAATCCTTCACAGTGCCACTTTGTCTACAATAAATCACACGTGACCTGACCTGGGATCTTACCCAGGCCGCCAAGGTAGGAATTCGGGAACTAACCGCCTGAGCTGTGGTCGTCCTCCCCCGTGGCCGTCAGTCCACAAGAGAACTATACCGACCGATCAACCGCCGCTTGTCGGCGAAGTTAGTGAACCGCTTCCCCCCCCCCTCTCACTCTTCTCCACTCTTCTCGCGGTACACTTTCCTCTACTAGCAGATCAGAAGATAGAATTTGGGAGGGAGCAGCCCTCGTCTCTGGCTCTTTTGTCGCGTTCACAAGCTCCCCAGGGTGTTCATGGGGTACCCAAGCATTTACGGAGGAGATAGTATATATGCAGGCTTTCAAAACAACCAATAACAATATTTAATTGCCAACACAACAAAGGAAACTGACACACAATATATAGAAATAAATAAAACAAGGCATAAACCCCTTCAGGGCGAGGCACCACAACCAAAAGTAGCGATTGCCCAAGTAATCACATATTGTGGACAGTCGTAACAAGCAGAACCCAAAACTGCCCCACTTGCCCCAGCCTCATTAAGTCATCTAACAGGTTACACCAAAATTCAGCAAAACAATAATAATAATGATACAAAAAAGAACACGGTCGCAACTGCACTGGAATCAAGAATACTCAGTTGCGACCCTTACCAGCCAGACAGAAGACTCTCCAAACATAAGTTAGAATTACAAAGTCCTCCTGCTGCCGGTAACCAACCACTCGTGAGTGCGTCTATCTTCAGACTGTTTACACCTACTCCCTTCCGAGACAATCATGGAAAGAGAAGGAAGGTCACGTGGTCAAGATAGGTAGAAACGGTAGAAATAACGGTAAAGACGCCAGCATAATGCCAGGATGCGGATAGAGGGTGTCGCGTGGTCAGCGCAACGGATCCCCACGACCGTTAATCTCGGGTTTCTAGACCAGTATGAGCTGTGGTACTTCCTCCGAATATTCTTTAACTGTATTTCGACATTTTGCTGTCGTTATATCCGAAATTATGAAACTTTTTGAATATTCATTATGAACCTGGATACTCAGCGTAGGGACCGGCTGGAAGCTTAACGGTAAAATTTCTTTTCCTCAATGTCGGAACTTGTCTGTCTTGGTCACCGCGCCCAGACCGGCTCAGACCTAGATCTGTCTTCGAACTAATAGCATCTGGGGCTTTGTACATGTGCGTTAAGCGGCCGGAACATGAAGCTCAACGCTCACCATCTAGTTTCAAGATTAAGAATACGTGAAATCCCATGTCTATTCCCACTGTACGCCCACGTGACGCGGTACTAAGACATTTAGCCTCATGGTCTCGTAGCGGCTTACTTCAGCCCCTTAAGCACGATATTTCTAAAAGAGTACTTCAGTATGCAGTTCGTATCCGACACAAAACCCATCGATCTTTCCTTATAAGTAGGAAGCGATTATTTAAGGAAATAATCGCTGTTTATTTTGACAGTCATGCTACATACCAAACAGAGATTTAATGTAAAAGTATGGGGTGCATGTAGAAACTACTGTGTTTAAATAGCTAAAATGCGCCTTCGCACAATGACAAAAGGATTAGAGCCACTTAACATGGTCATCAAAATTTAATTTAAGTGATTGAATGCAGAGATAACTTACTCGAAAGCTCGACATTGGCTTCAAATATACACGCGTAAAGAACTGTTCCCTTTCTTATAGTGCGTAACTGCCCCACCACAGCATCACGACGCGTGAGACAGCTACAAACAGACCGGCCGAAGGATAACTGTGAGCCATCCTGCTTGCTACCACATCTAGTACAAACAAACAAAAAACTCCGTGGCCTGTAGTCCGCAAGCGAACTATACCGACAGAGCAACCACCGCTTGTCGGTGAAGTTAATCTCAACTTTAGCGGATAGAGAGTGTCGCGTTGTCAGCGCAACGGATCCCCACGCCCTATATTCTCGGTTTTCTATTTCCTTGAAATAGCTCCTCGATTATCCTCACAAGACTGAGTGGACTCCGTTCCAGACCCACTACTTCTCAGAAAATCTGGTAGGGTCGGGAGTCGAACCCGAAACCTCGCGGTCTGTAGCCAGGAACCCTGACCACTAGACGACAGAGGCGGTACACCACAATCTAGTACAGCCCTACTCATATTCTGTGCATAAACTGGTGTTACCATCGACAGCAATCAAATCTGCGTGTGGAATTAACGAAGCTTTGCTTCTAATCAACTTGAAATTCCATGATGACGCGGTGGCTGTGAGGTAATATCAGCTCTATATTGCCGTTATGCTTTGCCCCAAACACTAGGGCATCTGAAAGCAGAACTACAGGGATTGTCTGAATAGGCTTCCTGTTTCCCAGAGACGCCCTGGACGGGTGACAGCGGTGATGTGTACTTGTGTATGGGCTACAACGCTTATGCCTGATGTGTAGCTAGCGTGTCACGTTCACTTGAGTGACTTGACGCTTGTAACGGATTTTATCTTAAGCAGGGCTCCACAAAATAACTTGTTCACGTACATGTAATAGTTTCAAACGTTATGAGGGTTCTCGGTTGGATTCTGGGAAACATAAATTCCAAAATAAAACAGCAATCATATTGATCGTGGAAATAAAATTTTATGCCGTCCTTGAATTGTACTTACTTACTTACTTACTAATGGAGCTGAGCCCTTCTGGAGGAGCCGCTAATTCTGCAGCTACTCAAGAATTTCCCAGCATTTTATGGAACCCGAAGGTTCATTACCGTGTTCATAAGAGCCCTCCACTGGTCCCTATCCTGAGCCAGATCTATCCAATGCATACCATGACATTCTATCTCTCTAAGATCCATTCTAATATTGTCCACCCAACTACGCCTTGGTCTTCTCTGTGGTCTCTTTCCTTCTGGCTTTCCCACCAAATCCTATACGCATTCCTCGTCTCCCCCATTCGTGCTACATGACCTTCCCACCTCATCCTCCTTGACTTGATCATTCTAATTATACTTGGAGAAGAGTACAAGTTATGAAGTTCCTCATTAAGCAGTTTTCTCCAACCTCCTGTCACTTCATCTCTCTTCGGTCCAAATATTCTCCTCAACACCCTGTTCTCAAACACCCTCAGTCTATGTTCCTCCCTTAATGTCAGAGAACAAGTTTCACACCCATACAGAACCACAGGCAAAATTATAGTTTTGTATATTCTAATTTTTATGTTTTTAGACAGCAGACGAGAAGACAAAAAGTTCTGGACTGAATGGTAGCAAGCATTACCCAAGTTCAATTGCCTCTTAATTTCCTCCTGAATCAGGTTTCGATCTGTTATCGTTGTTCCCAAATATCTGAACTGTGCCACATTTTCAAAACATCTGTTTCATATCTTTATGTTATGATTTTGCCCTGCATTTTGGTGACGAGACAGTAACATATACTTAGTTTATATGTGCATATTCAGTTTATTAGAACGTGACTTAGGTACTGAAAGTTACAATTCATACATACTAACTGTTCAGTTACGTCTAAAGACATAATTTCGCCGTGATGGAAGGCCACACCTCAGTCGCGAACGACTTTCAGGGAAGTCTAACAAGAGCCCGCTTTTCTTCTACTTTTTTATATCTTCATTTTTCATGCCTGCATTTAGTTGTGTATGTGTACATAGGTATGTATATATATGCATGGGTAGGTACATAAGAAATATATTTTTATTTTGGTAATATTTCCACTTCTAATACCATTTCCGAAATGAAATTTGAAGCCATCACGTAAATGACTAAGAAGTCATTAATAAGCACATGCTTAGCCTGCACTGACATATGTACATGTGGGATACCTGTGTAAATAAAATATGGCATCTTGTTTTAATGGAAACAGAAAGAAACGATGTTTTGGTTATTTTGGTCGTCTTCGTCATTATCATTGCCATTACGCAACAACAATTTTGTAGAGTCTAGGCTTTTCATAAATCAGGTACTTTTCCTATTCTTTAGCACTGATCGTTCCGTAAATACATAATCCTCGTGCATGTGGCGAAACATGGATTCCTCGCTTAATCCGATGTTCTCTTTCAAACAAAAGTTCATCGAATTATTAATAAATTCCAAAATGCTGATACTGATCAGGACATAAATTTTATGGTAAAAGTCCAGTAGCAAAGTTACATCCTACGAGACAGAATCTTCCATAACTTCCACTGCGAGAACCACGAAAAAAGTAAAACGTAAAAAGGTATCCCTGTAACAGGCCATGGAGGCCCATAGGGTTGTGAGAGGTCGAGGCTCCCACATTTTCTCTAGACAGTCGGCTCATAGATGGCGGTGAGGTTGTCAGCCTTACGCGTCGGCCGGTCTTTAACCCCAGGAAGAGTCCTGGTACTCATTTCTATTAGATGCTGAGTCTACCCCAGGGCCATAGTTCAGCTGGAAGGATTAGGTCAATTGAAAAAATCCAATGACCTCATCGGGACTTGAACCCGCGACCTTCCGGCTTGTAGCATAGTGCTGCGATAACCACAAACCTTACAAAAAGCCATTAGCCGTCGTGCTTGCATGGCGAAAGAACGAACCATATAACCCCTGTGAAACACATCTAAACAAACGAACAATCCATTAGATTCAGTTTGTGATCTTCCGGGATTACCAACATTTCGGAGAAACCTGTTGCTTCCATATTCATTACAGAATTTAC